CAATTATACCCGTTCATCTAATAAGAAATATATATACAAATTGTGCATGCGTGCAGATATATCCTAACACAGGGTCTTTCAAATAGATATAAAACACAATATGCTAAATTGAAGTTCCGTTGTGTTTATCTTCATCATTTTTTCTCCTCGATATACTTCTTTTCTTTTTACATAGTCTTAGGACTTTTTTATCTTGGCATGATCAACAGTAAAGGAAAAGAAGAAAAAAAGAAAAAAGCAACAAACAGCTTTCATTATTGTTCTTTTTTTGAGATTTGAAATAAATTTGATTATATAGTAGATACAAACTATATTAACATTGACACAAGGGCATTATGCACATGTTTCTTTAAATTGTTCCTTATTATTGACCAATCGAAACATCTTCCAAATTCCCTAACTCGAACAATGACTTTAAGTAGTTTTGTCACATATCAGTCAATGTAAATTACCAATCGTATATCAGTTATATTATGATCTAATAGTCAAAATAATTTTTAGAATACCAATTGACATATATGATATGTACATCAAATTCGAAATATTGTAAACAAGCATGTATAAGTACATTTACATACTTTATGTCTAAAGCAACTGCTGATCTTTACATACGAAACAAACAAAATAACATTTATTGTGGCATTGATAAACTTTGGAAATTTTGCCGAGTAACATCGTATGTGTGCACATGTCCTTATGTTTATGATGAAAATAATTCACTTACATACAGCAGTACTCTCACATACGTTAGTTTTGTATGGAGTTTTCATTTGCATTTTACATATGATGACATATTTTAGAATTGAAGTATCAATAAATATTGTGCTATTATTTTGTTTGCAGGCTTTTACTGATGTTTATAGTATGGAACTGAGAACCATGTAATTTGAAACATAAAGTGCATACTTGTTGTAAAAGAAGAAAGTATAAATAACATTTATAACAAAAACAAGTAAAAGAACATAAATGTCAAGAATTGCCATTGAAAATAGGTTAACAAATATAAACTACTACAATCCTTTTGCAAAGTTTTACTATGGATTTCAATAGAATAAGAATAAGTTTGCAACCAAAGATGCTTGAAGTATAAGTCTGCAACCAAAATGTGCTTGAACAAGATATTTTTGTGTATTGAACGTTATCTTCGGACTTGCGAACTAAACCATTTGTACTGCATTGACAGAAACATATTTTGTTATTGTTAAATGCAGTTCAAAACTTACAAATTCGAATAAAATGGGAGAAAAACCGACCAGAACAGTCACATGTCAAATTTCAAAATATCTACATAATCAGTTTATATCTTCAATAACTTCGTCAAAACAGAATCTAGGATGCTGAAACCTTTAACCGAGTGTGGTATATATATTGCATTATGGAATAGACATACTAATGAACTTCAAAATAGCAAAGAAACCTACTTGCCTGGCAAAAATTCGTTCACCCGTTTCAAAAAAAATGACGCCGTGTTTGCCATTTTGTCAAGTTTGCAACCAATTCGCTCGCTTGAACCAAGTGTGCAACCACTTCACGTCCTGCCCCTTGAATATATACTGTGTAGTATCAGGGAGGGAAAGTGTCGCTAAATTTGCAGGTATTCTGGTATTCAAATAAAGGGAAACTATTCATCCTAATTATTTTCATTAGTAGTAACAGGATAACTTCCCTTTAAATAGCTGAGCGAACACTTATATTGAACTTAATATTATTTATACGCTCTTTGGAAGCAAAAGACAATTAACTCATCTGTATTGATTATAAAAAAGATTGTGATATTGCTTAGCACAATATGTAATAAGGTATTAACAGGTTAGACCTGCGTTAATATGTATCCTTACTTCGTATAAATTATCAAACATTTCTGTCAGACAATAAGAGTATAGCATATGTCTTATTGTACGCATTTACTTTATTAAAACACTTTAAAAAGATTTGGAAACTGGCTACAGTGTACGAGTAATGGTATGATATCGAAAAAAGTATAAGCTTATCAGTATATTGTATATTAGTATACAGTACTTAACTAAACATGAACAAGTTTATTTGAAAAAGTCTGATTGAACCTGAATAAATTCATTATCATCCACGAACATTCCTTTTCATTTAAATTATTTTTTTCAGCATTAAATTTTAGTATTACATGTTAGAAACTTGTGCGAGATAAATCAAGGAATATGTGTTTACTGTGTTAGGAATTAAAATTGTTGCAAAGATCAAATGAAACTAGGAAACATTTTGTTCATTTCAGCACATCAGTTAAACAAAGCTACACAACGTATGGTCAAAGTTATTTGGTTGATATTATCTACAAGTATGCCTGGAGCAATAATACCAATACGTGTGTTTGTTTGTTTGGGTTTTACGTCACACCGACACAGTAAATGTCATATGGCGACTTTCCAGCTTGATTGGTGGAGGAAGACCTCAGATGCCCCTCCGTGCATTATTTCAGGCACGAACGGGCACCTGAGTAGAACCACCGACGTTCCGTAAGCTAGCTGGATAGCTTCCTCACATGAAAGAATCAAAAGTTCCTGGCGGGATTCGAACCCACAGCGGTGAGGGGCATGTGATTTGCAGTCAACGACCTTAACCAATCGGCCACGGACGCCCCAATACCAATAAGAGCTTATTAGACAATTTAAGGTTATATAAAAATAATTGTATAGAAAAATACAGGCAGACTTATATGTTTGACCAGACTTCAGTTTTAAAGGTAAAGTTCTGGAAATTAAAAAAAAACAAAACAAAAAAAACTTATATATATATATTTTTATATTAGAATATAGGTTGTTCCTGTGGACAATTGTCCATGGACATGTTGGAAAGAATGAGTTTGTGGTAGGCTTCCGGGGCTAGTATTACCCTACAGCATAGTATATGGGCATTTCATATGGCTCTTCCTAACTGTTGATATATAAACTTCTATATGAATCGTTGGTGATTTTTGTAAATCATAGACAAGGTGGAGATCAGGTCAGTGCCATTTGAAAGCAACAGCATCTGTGTAACATTGAATATGTTCAAGTGCATTTTGTCCAGGCAACAAACGACCGGTCATATCATCAGAGAACAAACAATGATTGTTTCACAATGTTTAACTTTTTAAAATTACCAGAAATGTTGGTCGATGTGGCAATTGCCTTGTTACATCATCGGCATATGTCCGATCATGTACAAGGAATTGCAATGAAGAAAAAAGAGGCTTGACACGTTCTTAAAATATTAATTTGCACACTGCTGTATGTCTTTTAAATTAATAGTCTTAAAGAACTTTTATTCTTTTACCTTTTTTAGATTTTGCGTATAAATAATGTCTTTTATTAACAGTTCCCTGACAACGCGCCTGCTAGTCATAACCAAAATTGGTTGTTGACCAGTATCATATGTAATCTAGGATAGGCACTTTAATTACTTTCTCCGGCGGCTGGCTAACTCGAGAGTTGTTCAACTTGGACGGCACACAGGAGTCCAGGAGCTCGAGAAAATGTTCCTTAATGTATGCCCACATGGTAATTAATAAAATGATAGTATTTAATAAATACCATGTGGCCAATCATTAAGGAGGCCACCAGCTTCACCAGCTTCAACAATATTTCAATTTATTACATGCTTTTCGGTGGTTTATAGAAATATATCAGTGATATAAAATTGATAATTTCACTGTTTTAAACAGTGAAATTATCATTTTGATAATTTCACTGTTTTGAATTTAAGCCCCTTACGTTGTTTCGGTGGAATACCAGCGTGCACAGTACTGGGAACAAGATACAAGATACAAGAAACTTTATTTTAAGTCGGTTTACATATTACAAGAAACATTAGCTAATAAGCTATTTACCGACAATAACAAAGGCATAAAACATATTTACTAACATATAACAGTTCTGAAAATAAAAACATATAAAACTATTAGCAGCTTAAGCATGAAATAAGAGTATCAAGGTTAAGAAGAACTTTACAATAAGATGGTAAATTAAGGCATAGATTGGTGACATGCACAGTACATATTGTATTAAAGGTAATAACAGTTTCTAAAAGTAATAAATGACTGTAGTCTAGAAGTTTAAGTATGATACATATAGCAATGTGAAATAAATAAAAATAATAATAAAAAATAAAAAATTAATAAAATAGTAATAGTTATAAGTTAACATCTACAACTTATAAATTGGGAACCAACTTAATGACGCGACTTCGTAAATGACGTCACGTTGTATTATTATTTGGCGCGTTTTTTCATTCATTATTGTGTTAAATGTGTTTTTAAAACGTTTCTTTGCATATAATAAAAAGAAATTTGTTTAGTTTGGTGTAATATCAAAATATAGTTCACCTTGTGAACACCAAAAGTTCATATTTCACTCGTTACTCGTGAAATATACCTTTTGGTGCTCACTCGGTGAAATATATCTTGATCTTACACTGACCTAAACAAATATCCTCTATGAAAACTTCACATCTCTTAATAGTTGTGAAGTTTTGTTTGAAATATTGTTGAAACTGGTGGCCTCTGATTTTTAATGAGACTTTAATGAGACTTTTTAAAAAGGTTACATGTATACGAATTTTATCAGATAATATAGATTTGTCTAAATATTCAGAGTGAAAGATTTTGTATTGTATATTAGGATTCTAAAACAATGTAGAACACTGTGATCTGTATCTGTTCGGGTACGTAAAAGGATCACTTCTGGTATAATTCTACGGAGAGGACGCTCAGAAGTGATCTGGGACGGACTGTTTAAAGCCCTCGACTGTCTGTGCGCACACAACACTATCTTGCAAATGGTTTCCACAAAGAATGAATTTTAAACTGATTTGTGTTGGCATTAGGCAATAATAATAAACCCATATACTGTTTGAGATCTCACTTGTGCTATGTGTTATATTGTATGGTGTATCACAAAAATAACACTCTCTTCTCATTACGCTCAACAATACTTTTCGTTACAACTGTGTACTTTCGGTGCTTTTCAATCGTTGGGGTAAATAAATTCGTTTGATAATTTTGTAATAACCGGCTGTCAACGATGGCAGTTTCACTTTTATTAGTTTCTTTATTAATTTCTTTCTGTGTTAGTGTAGCCGATGCTTCAGTTGAAGGGCTTTATTGTGGCCATGAAAACTGCTACGAAAGTATGTCCTTTTTTATGTTTTATTTAGTCTGATTATATTAGTTAACGATATTTTACAAACAGGATGACGTTTGTCGGTTTGACATGTATGCTAAACGGTTTTACTTTTGACGAATCGTTAATTTGTCAGATTTGCTTATTTCACAATTTCTTATTGGCTATGAGAAACATTGCGGCATTGTGTTCAGGCCTGAAAAAAGGGGGGAAAACGTTTCCAGAGTCATTATACACGTTTTGCAAAGAAAAAATTAGTTCTGGCTTCCAAAACTTTATAAGCCGCTCTTTAACATTCTTGTTTTTCATCTGATGCGGCATTAAAGTTTTGGATTAGACCCGTTACGAAACCTTACCAGAATAACATAAGTTGATTTATTCTTGTTTTTCACTTGCAAATACACTTGACTTAATCAATTCTTGTGCATTTTAGGATAACACAATTATTTTAATATCGTTCTATATCCTCGAGTGACCAGTTTCGACGCCCATAAGGATTGTTTTGTATGCGTCTATTAAAACCATGTGATTGTATTGTATAAAATGTTTTAACTTATTAAACAATCTCTAACCTTTATGAAATGAGTAAATTTAAGCTGTTTTCCAGCTATTCCTTTTCAAGAACAATCCTACTTTCACTTCATCCGGGAGCGGCCATTTTGATTGAGAGTGCCCTAAAACGACGCTATTGATTGGCTAATTTAATTACACACTACAGGAGACTGTACACCATAATACTTTTACTTACGCTATTCACCAATATCAAGAGCATAGACCTGCAAAGTATCACCAAGTGAAAAATAGTTTATCTATTCTTTATTTCTTTCAATAATAAAGCATAATTATATATGGTAAATGCTATTGTTGTATTTTTACAGTGGTTTGGGTGGTTGCCCTAGTCTGTTTGGCCTCCTCTGCTGAATAATAAAGGTTGGAAAATAGCACATTAACTTCCTTTGTTGAACCTGCAAAAACAAAATAATACATTTAGCAGAGCAACTTACTAAATCATGGCAATTCATTCCATCCAAATAAGATAAACATATCAAATTAATTTTCAATTAACATTCATTCATCGATTAATAACCGTTAAAAAAATATACAGCACGTACAGGTTGCTTTAGTGTGAAAAAATGCGCCAAAAACAACACTATTGGGTAATTTTACTGCCATGTGACCTGAGAATGAGGAAACGAGGTCAGCAGACAGGGAGGTATTTTCCAGCCGATTTTTTTAAGGAAAGCATGACATAGTAAAGTGAGGGTCAAAATTGCATTAGTGAAATCATACAAAAATCTCTTAAATAAGGTATAACATGCTAAATCTTACCTTTGGGTGTCTTACTTACTACATATTGTTACCTGACAAACTAGAGGAATCCCCTTTTGCTATAGCGTAGTACAGTAATGACGTAAGCGGCCGCTTATATCAATTATGAGGCAAAATATAAATGGCGTCGAAATAGGGCAGCGTAAAAACGGGTCACTCGACGATACCAATTAAAGTATCAAAATATTAATAAAAGTCATTAAAATTGCCTATTTAACTGTAAAACATTAATTAACGCCGACTACATTCAGGTGCCACGCGAGAACTAGGGAGTCAGTAAGTCACCTTTTTCAATATCTTTTAAAAAAGTAATCTATAAAAATATTGGAGACACATGGGTTCATCAAGGTCAAACTCGTAATCACGTGGTCAAATATTTTGGCAATATGGCGGCCAAGTGCCGAAATTTTTATCTGTCTGAAACTATTAGGTAGGGGTGTAACAATACAGCAAAAACCGTATTGCAATATATTGCCATTTTGCTGATGCGTATTGCAATATATTGCAATACGTATTGTCGTGTATATGTTTTGATGTAAATATGGAGTAACATTTATATATTATTATTATATGTATATATTTTTAGTAGAAACTTAACAAAAATGTAAGGAATAAATAGAAAGTAGTGTCACACAATTTGATAAACAAAACTAGTCGTGTGTGACCTTTCACATATGGGCCGCTTATGTAAATTATGCGGCCGCTTATTGACTTTTAAGTGTACTAGTTGTCGGATACTTTTATCTTACGTTGGCGCCAACAAAATTTGCCAATTAAAGATTTTATGTGAAATTTGTACAAAATTAGAAGGCAATTAATTGAAAATGATGATTTTTATAAAATACCGGTTTTCCAAAAATCGTACCGCGGTTCGAAATTTATTTTTTCATATTGCAATATATCGGTATACCGGTAAACCGTTACACCCTTACTATTAGGTAGTTTATGTTCCCAATAAGATTTTTATTTGTCCATCCTTGGCTTATCAACAGATTATATATTGTTTTATCAAGGTATGCTTTACTATACTTCATGGCAAGTTCGATGAATAAATACAAGCGTGTCAGATTCCTGGCACGATTATTGGTGGACTTTCCCTACGGGGTTATCTTCAGCGTTCAAGTCATGTCTTAGTATATAAACGGGTACGCTGAAGACCTTAAGCTAAGAAAAAATAAGATAGTTTTCATAGTTCTGGCTTCCATAACTTTACAAAATGTATAAGCTCTTTTTAACATTTTTGTTTTTCATCTGATGTGGCTAGGCAGTTTGGGATCACACCTTTTACGAAACAGAACAAGAATAACATACCTTGATTTAACCTTATTTTTTCATTTTCAGATTGATCTATACACTTGTCCTTATTATTTCTTGTGCATTTTGCGATAAAACAATTATTTAAATATCGTAGAATCACAAGGGTTTTGTTTTCTTAACCATCCAAGCTAATTAACCCGTAAAGGTCAATCTCATAATTACGTGGTCAAACATTTTGGCAATATGGCGACCAAGTGCTGAATTTTTACCTGTTGGAAACTATTAGGTATTTTATGTTCGTAATAAGTTTTATATATATGTCCATCCTTGGCTTATCAACAGATAACACATAGTTTTATCAAGGTATGTTTCACTTTACTTCATGGCATGCTCGATGAATGAATATGAGCATGTCAGATTCCTGGCACGATTATTGTTGGACTTTCTCTAGGGGTCTATTTTCAGCATTCACGTCATGTCATAGTTTATGAACAGGTTCGATGAAGACCTTTAGCTAATTTTTCACTCTTTCAATTGATGAATAAGGCAAAGACTAAAAGTGAGCTCATAATATAAAGCTGACAGAATTTATTAAACATAACGCTATTATAAATTTATATATTTATTAAACCCACCAGCTGCAAACTTTCAGTCAATTTTTTCACTAAACACTTTTTTTATACACAATGGCTCTGTTGTCCAATTGGAAATATGAATTTCATGTTTGATTTGTTATGTAAATTGAACTCCAGGCCTTGAAAAATTAACTGGCCCGCTCCCATAAAAAAAATTGTGAGTAAAAGCAGGGCTCTCAATTGACACGGGGATCCGGGTTTTGACTCGTGAAAATCAGGAAATGCACAAATTTGACACATGATAAAATCTGCTCAAGAGTCAATTTGCCACGTGGGATTTTCAGCTATGCAATAATAATTACTTTAAATCCTCACCTAATTACCTATCAAATCCTACACATGTTCAAATCACACTAAAAAAATGTCACCGTGTGTAATACACAGCATTGTTTATAGCATGTGCACTGAAGCGCGACATCATTGGATGCAATTTTACAGCGCTAAAAATAGCTCTACACAACTGATAACAATTACATACTTGAGGTGTCAATTATTGAGTGCTTTTAAAGGTTTATTATACGTCTTTGATTGACTTGGGGTGCCTGTACATTTGTTATTTTCCATTCAATATTCCTAGTGCATTTTGGAATTTAAAGTTAATATGATATATAGCATACCCAGAGATCTGCCAAGAATTTGAAAGTACTGGGCCCTGGGCCCACTTGGTCTGAAAATGATGGGCCATTTTTACCAAAGTATGGGCCTTGGGAAAATAAGTAAACATTGACCAAAATAACTGTTAAAAAGTTTGTAGATAATTGAATTGCCCCGGTAATAAAACTTAAATCATATTTTATGACAAGTGGTTCACTTATAATTCAGTACTTTACCAATAATAAAAAATTATGCCTACATGGTAACTATCTAACTAATATTAATTGCAGGCAAAAATGAAAATATTTTTTAAATGGCTGCTCAAAAATTTGATATGCAAATTTATTCACATAATTGCTGGTTCTTACTTGTAATGTCTTATATTGTGCATTATCCATTTAATTGTTCCTACTTTGCACCAAATGTCCCTAACCACTGTATATTGACGAATTTTATTGCCCTTGTATGCCTCTGTTTAGACAGCATACATCAAAGACGTTTGCCGACAGACCTTTTGATCATGAAAAAAGTCATGCACAATGTTTCTCTGATTGGTTAATCACCCTGTCAAACATTCTGATGACGAAATATACATCTTTTTTTTACACTTTAGCAGCCAAAACTTGCGTGAACTTGAGTGACCTTAGGGTTGATCAAGTTGAACACCTGTCAGATTATACTGTAACTTACAGCATTTCTTAAAATACCAACACTTTTTTTTCAGTTACCGATAATCATTTTAAATATTAAGTAGTTGTTTAATTTGTTTGTTTGTTTTATTGGATTAAATTTACGGTAGTAGAAATAAGTATCTGTGTAGGAAAGGGATTATGAGAAGAAATGCGGTAAGTAGATAACATGGACAAAAGCTATAGGGGAATGGATAAACTCAAGAATATGCGTAATTACAGGAGCATGGGTAACATGTTGCTGTTGGTACCAGTTTTGACTGGATGACTAAATAACCCAGCAGACAGTTTTGTTTTCTTATAAGTCTGGCACAGATTTTAGATGCGCCCATGGCCCTTTGCTGCCGATTTTCCTGCGCCATTCTCATTTTTTTAGCGCCAATGGCGCAAAATCGCGTCCTCGGCAGATCTCTGCATGATACCAGTAAAGATATTTCTTTATATTTTAAACTTTAAATCAGAAAGCTGCTGCTTAATTTGATCTTTCACTGTAAAGATGCTATTCATTTTTTTAGCTCGACTATTCGAAGAATATGAGAGCTATTGTAGTCGCCCCGGCGTCGGCGTCGGCGTCTGCGTTGGTTAAAGTTTTTTGTAAAGTCAAATATCTCAATTATTACGTGAGATATTCAATTGAAACTTACAATACTTATTTATAGTAACAAGGTACATCAGATTGACAAGTTGGATAACTCTGCCTACAATATTGACAGAATTATGCCCCTTTTTAACTTAGAAATTTTGGTTAACGTTTTTTGTAAAGTCAAATATCTCAATTATTGCTTGAGATATTCAATTGAAACTTACAATACTTATTTATAGTAACAAGGTACATCAGATTGACAAGTTGGATAACTCTGCCTACAATATTGACAGAATTATGCCCCTTTTTAACTTAGAAATTTTGGTTAAAGTTTTTTGTAAAGTCAAATATCTCAATTACTGCTTGAGATATTCAATTGAAACTTACAATACTTATTTATAGTAACAAGGTATATCAGATTGACAAGTTGGATAACTCTGCCTACAATATTGACAGAATTATGCCCCTTTGTAACTTAAAAGTTTTGGTTAAAGTTTTTTTGTAAAGTGAAATATCTCAATTATTGCTTGAGATATTCAATTGAAATTTAAAATACTTTTTTTATAGTAACAATGTACATCAGTTTGCAAAATTGCATAACTCTGCCTGCAATATTTGCAGAATTATTTGCCCCTTTGAAACTTAGAAATTTTGGTTAAAGGTCTTCAAAGATATTTACTTGAAACTTTACACATGCACTTAGGGTCATAATTGTATGTACGCTCCCTTCGTCACTGACCAAGTTCCATAACTCTATCTTGCATTAAGGCTGATTCATATCCCCTTTTCTACTTAGTCTCTTGGTTAATGTTTACATGCAAGTTTTACATATCTCAATAACTATTAAAGATATTAATTTAAAACTTCATATAAGCATTTAGGGTCACTGACAAAGATCCATAATTCTATCTTGCATTTAGGCTGATTTTTCTCCCCTTTTTCAACTTAGAAATTCATGGTAAAGTTTTGCTTGTAAGCTGTTATCTCAATAACTACTGAAGGGTTTGTGCCTTTTTTGGGACAATTTATGCATTCATAATAATAAAGCAGTGATTTACTTGATAAAACATCTTAATAACAAGCCTTTGTACCTTTTCTGTCAAATTTATGTATTCATAGGTAATTAGTATTATTATACTCAAATAAAACACCCTTGTGACATTACCTTCCAAATAGTCAAGCCAATACTGTATAATTAGACTCTCTCTAAGGCCTATAACATGAATTTATAACAAAAAATTAGCCCTTTTGTGAACTTAAAAAAATAAACAATATAAAGGCTCTTTTACTATCAAGCACTTAGAATAGTCGAGCGTGCTGTCCTACAGACAGCTCTTGTTATTATATACATTATAACAATATTTTTTTATTATATACATTATAACAAGGCATTTTTTCCATGTTAAATATTATCAATTTAGACTAGAATCTACACAAAATGACCTCCAAAACAGTAATTTTTGTAACATAAAAATGATTCATGTAGTCAAATGACACTAGAAAAAAATTATTTGACTCATGAAAATTTTGGCCAAAGAGTCTTTAACTCGTGAAATTCTGACCCTACTGAGAGCCCTGGTAAAAGTTTGGGTTGGGCGAAAAAAAATGATCAAACTCGAGTACGTTTCTTATGATCAAAATGATGTTTCTCTGTATAATATATTTAATATAAATGTAGTTATTCAGTAAAAATCAAACTGCAGATGCCATTTCAATAATAATACTGTCAAAAAAAACTGGAAATTGACCTTATGACTAAGTATAAAACTTTACCAAATATGATGAATCAAATCTTTTATTACCAATATCTCTGCTGTTTATATATACATTGTACCATTATTAATTGTAAAGATTATTTAAAGGTTCAGTTGAATATATTGGATCTTCTGTGTTGTAAAATGGTCACATCTCTTTTTCTCTAATGTAAAAAGAAACCAGGGCAGTGATATTTTTAAATGTAAATAGTCCTAATTAGTGGTAATGTTTCTAATACTGTATTTTATATAATTATAATTTTCTCTTTTACAGTTCTCGATGTCACAAGAGAGTCAACAAGGGTAATAAAACAATTATTATTAAGATAATCTATGTCTAGTTTACCTTCAGTTATTTTACTGTAGTAAAACACAAAACAACAACAACAAGCTGGGTAACAATGTTAAATATGTTGTCTAGGCTGCTTCAGATTCTGTACATGATTAAAACTGTTCATTGTCTAAAGTTATTTATAGATGACGTTTAATAAGAGGTTTATAACTGGTGAAAATTTATGCTTCTCACAATGTCAGATTATCAGACTCATTCCCAATGCCAAATATACTTTTTTCTCGAGTGTTTAAAAGAGATTGTGATTGCCATACTGACAAATTTGCTGAAGTTCATTCTGATATAGGAACAGGCAAATGTGTGCTAATATCTTATTGTCAAATTTAATTGTATTTTGTTTTTTCACACAGTTTTGTAGGGCTGAAATAATTAAGTCCCTATTTACAAAGTCAAAACATATCAGATTCATATGAATGTTTGTATCCATAGCTTTCAGATTGCCAAAAGCTATCTTTTTCAAAATTAATTTAAACACAATATTACTAGCCATTTTCTTGCTAATTAATGTTTTATTTAACTTTCACCTAGAGTATCACTCTGCAAAGATAAACATTATAATATGATTTTATTTTCAGCAAGAAATCGTGAAAGCTTATCGAAAACTGGCCAGAAAATGGCATCCAGATATGCACAAGACAGAAGAGGTAAATTTATAACTTTTATATAATACAAAGTTTAAATTGGAAATAGAATAAAAGCATCCTGATTCAGACTGGAAGGACTATTTGAACTTATGTTATTTGATGTTTAGTAAGATTCTTTTTACGTCCACTTTTTGATGCAGAAAGAATCTGTTGTCTTGTTCTACTTGGTGACAGTGTTGGTTAATCATTTGTGTAAAATTTTCACTTATGGTCATTGACTTAAATACTTTCAAGCTATTGCATTGAAACTTTATATGTGGCTTGACCTTGATGAGTTCTACCTGCTACACCCATTTACAGGTCAAAGGTCGTCAACCGCCTCCGTGGTTGAGGGGTTAGAGTCGATGACTTCTAATCCAGTTACCTCTCTGATGTGGGTTCGACCCCGGGAGATGCTTTGGTAGTTTAGCATGGAGGAAGGTAGTCTAGTACTGGTGTAACTCTACAGGAACGATGGTTAGGAAACTACCCGCCTATATGACTGAAATACTGTTGGGAAAAATGAAACAAACAGGTCAAAGGTCAAGGCCTGTTGGACCTTAAAAGTAGCCTAGTGCAATGACTTACAAACTTTGAATTTGGTAAACTATTTGAAATTGATGATTATCCAATGAAAGAGCAGCTTTACTAATGTGCAATATTATAATATGTTGTATATTATTTGATTTTTTTCCCACTTATTTTATACATTTTGATCTTTTCATTATATAATTTTATATATGCTTTAAGTTTTTGGGTAATTTTATTCCTGCACTTGCTGTCAGGACAAGAATTTGTTAGCATATACCTGTCTGTTGTTATTTATATGTGAGTTATTAATTAACCACTTTATTTTGCTTCTTATATATGCAAAGTTAGAAGGATCAGACAAAACAACATGTATTATAAACTTCAGTTGTTACTGCATTAAATAATGTACATTGTTTGATGTATCAGACTAGCAATTCTTCAATAATTAGTGTACAATATAAGCTATATGTTTTAATGATTTATGTAGAATGTATCATATATTAACCTTACAATTGTTACTACTTCAAATGTAAAGTTGATTGACTACCTGTCAAGTTACGACAGTTTTAATGTCAATGTATTATTCATCTGCTTTATCATGTGTGAAACAGTTACTGGTGTGAAACAAAAAAATAATGTGCACACAAATTTGAAGTAATTATCACAATTAATTATTAGTGAGGTTTTCATATAAAATATTTTATGATTTTAAAGCTATTTTCTAAAAAAGCAGAGAGGTCATATATTAAAAGTTAATTCAATGTTAAAGCAGCAGGCCTCCAGAAGATAAAGAAAAAACTGCCGTCTTACTTATATTTCATAATCCTTCTTCAAAAACATTATATATTTTGAAAGAAGTTGAAATGACGCTTGAAAATGTTTATATTTTAACATTTTTGTTCTGGAAAAAAAACATTTCAATTTTCCGGCAACCAGAAAAACTTTATTTTATAATACTATGGAATTCTTTCATCTGGGCTTTTTTCTAGTACCACATGATTATACAGGATAATATTGCGACCTGTGATCCGGAACGCACGGAATATGGGATCATATCAAACATAGAGAGAAATGAATAAATGCTTTGGTTTTGATATTTGTAGTAATTTAAGGCACTAAAAATGATAATTGATTAATTATAAAATATATATGATGACCAATATACCAGTTTAAACTTGAGCTTGAAATATGATTAGGGCCTTAGCTCTATGACGAAAAATGATATATGATCTCAGGCATACCTGATACTTGGATTTTTTCCTGACCGCTGTTGTAACACGTGACCATGTAAATGAATTATCTTCTCCAATTTATATTAACCACTGTGTTAGTAACATAGTAGATTATGCAAAGGAGAAACACAATATAAAAATACAATGTGATGAATAGTTAAACATTTTTCTTACTTAGATATTTTTATAACAATGTATTGTCAGTTTGCTTAATTTCTTTAATATCATATATTATTTACATCAGTTTGCATTTTTACAGGTCACATATTTAGTTTTGTATACTATATATTAACTGTGTAATCATTAAGAAAATATTTCATGAATATTAAAGTTAAAGTGACATTATGCTCATATTTTCATAGTCTAGTTGAACTGAATTGACTTTATATTTCAAAAGATCGATTGTCAAAATAGTGTTTGACCAACAGTTGATATTGGAAAATGTTAAGGATAAAATTATAAATCTGCCAAAAATTTAAAAAGACTGCCCCACTCTTTTTTTTATAAACTAAGCGTTATAGGTAAATTCTAATGGATGTTAACAGAAATTTCATTTTGATCTGTGTATTATTTATTGTTTATGCGAACTTAATTATTAAATGGAAAGGATGGCAAAATGAAAACTTATTTTGATCTTCACCCGTTCACTCACTATATACCCTTGGATGGGCATAATGTCACTTTAAAGATAATGTTGTTTATAAGTCCAATGATCCAATGATTTTGATTATCTGTATTAGAATATGTATTATGTGTATTATAATTATGATAACTAGTATTCAATTTTATCTGTTTCAGAAAAAAGAAGCAGCTTCACAGATGTTCCAAAAAATCGCCAATGCGTATGAGGTATAATAATTTCACATACCTTATATGAAGCATAATTTCACATTACATAAAAACATATGTGGTATTATTACACATACCTTATAACATAATTATGAGGTACACATTACCTCATAGCATATTAGGTACAGTCAAAGAAATACTATGATCATCTGTGAGTAAAATATTTTTATCGCAGAAATTAATTTAATCCTTGAAATTCTTACTGATATGCCTAACTTGAATAAAAAAAATGTACAAACTATGTATGGGAAGCTATGTCCTCTATTACATGTCAAATAAAGTGTTTTAAATGACATATTTAATAATAAATAATATATTTGTAAGTTAAAGCTATATGTACTTTGTATATGGTCAAAACATGTTTCTGCTATTACTACAAAGAGACTGTGTAACAATTATAAACAATTTAAGTATTAAATTTGAGCATAGAATATCTTTAACATTGTACACCTGTATGAAGAGACCAATCAAAGGACTGTAAAAAGTAGTCAGGAAAATAAATTTAAATGACTTATTTAGAATATATATATATTTGTTGAAAATATGGTGTTTGGGGTTTGTACGTCACATTATACATGTATTGTGCAACCATAATTCTTTTATCCATATCCTTAAGAATTGATTGTACTTATTTCAAGTTTTGACGATCAGTGTAAAATGATTCTAGCAACAAAAAAAACAACATAAAAACACACATTTGATCCATAGCAAAGTAAAATATTATGTTTTGTATATCTTTAGATTCTTAAAGAAGAAGATTCCAGAAATGATTATGACTACATGCTTGATCACCCAGGTAAACTATATTGTACACTGTTAACTTTCACATGAACTATCAATGTATTTATCTAATTGTAAAACTGCACGTATGTTCTTGTGCAATATTGTAGATTTTATATTTCATGATTTATTTGTGTGTCCTTTAAAACAAAGTGTTATAAGGTTTAAACGAAAGGTAAATACTACGTGAGAATAATTCTTTGCTTTTGTTTGCTTAAATTCATGCTGAGATTAGTAAACTACTTTTTAAGTGGATACAAAAATTTTGTGAATGTCAAAAAGTGGACTTTTTGTGTGCAGAAATATTTGCGAAAATATGATTTCTTGAATTTAATGTTGTTTTTGTGATATCATTATTTAAGCAGGTACATTAAGTAACAAGTTATGAGTATGCCGTTATAGTAATCGCTGGATTCAGTTGTTTTATATCTTTGTTATTTATATAAGTGCTTGAAATATATATTGTTAGTTTGATAAGGACCTGATCACACATTTCTTTGTCATATTTTGAAACATTATTTTGTGATATGAATAACCTATTGTGTAACTAACACATATGTTGTTTCATTCAAACATTTGTGATTTATTAAGACCAACTTAAACAAACAAGCAATGAGAAAAATCAATCTCAGTACCTGAACAGTCAATCTTATTCACGTAGGATGCTTTATGAAAACATGTTTTCAAATGAAAGGAGAAAATTTGCTTAATAGAAATAATTTTTGCGCGATCAAATATTTGCAAATAATTTCAATTCGCAAAATCACAAATATTTCCACATCACAAAAGTAACCACTTATACAGTAATTTTTATTTGGTAACTTAAGAACAATTAAAATAAAATCAATGAATGGGGATAAATTAGAAAGCACACAGCAGATTTCTGTAAAAATGATCTTAGTATTTAAGTTCACCGTCAAAACCTGCCAGAAAACTAAAATAAGACTTGCTGTATATTTTATGTGAGTAGTTGTATTAATTATTGTATATTATATTATAACATACAATATAAATATTGATGAATGTAACATATGTGTTTATTTAACAGCTAATGGTTTCATTAGATATATTGATAGGTTACAGCTGGTGTCAATAGTATACTAATGTATAACAGAACAAATGTTACACTATTGTTGTGAACTAACTTCTAGGTAAAGAAAAATTTCAACAAAAAGTCAGCATACAATGTATTATGATCAATGTTTTATATACAGTAGAAATGCATAAGAGATAATTGCCATATTTTTATTGTCAATAAACATTTTTATGGTGCCTCCTACTGAATAGTGGTTCCATATAGGGTTTTACCTCCGTCTATATGTTGCCTTCTATAGAGTAATGGCAACAAATAGGAATCACTCCATCATCTGTCTTCAGGTCTGAATATTAATAGAGGGTCATCTAACTGTAAACTGAACAAAAGAAAACAAAACAGTTCATTCAGTAACAATAGACAAAGGAGTCTATGGCCTTCTATTAAACAAAACAAAATAAAAAACTGCTACACAGTAGCTTCAACATGCAACTAGTTATCATCAGGCAACACTTGATCATTATTTAAATTGATAGGATTTGAAATTATTCACAAGACATTGCAAGACATTGTTACAGTTGTTTATATCATGTTTCTGTAACACTAATTCTAGTCACTAGAAATATATAAAGTTGTATTTTTCAGATGAATTTTACTACAACTATTATAGATACTACAGAACTAGAACAGCTCCTAAAGTTGATGTTAGAATTGTGATAGCTGTAACAATAACTGTGATTTCTATTGTACAGGTATATCTATCTTAGTTGCTAAATGTTTAACTAGCCTTGCCTGATAATTATAACACTCATGATAATTACATAGAACTTATACTTGCGACATTCTTTTCTACGAGTAGAACCATTTGCATTAATTAATGAATGGCCAAATATTCGGGCAAAAAATATCAGTCAAAAATTCTGCCATGCCCTTTAAATTATTATATTAATTAAGCCATGAATTTATAATCTCACATATTTATTTTATACAAATTTATTCTAGTTTGATTGTGTAGGAAGCTATAAGCTTATTGAAACAGTCTGGAATTTGTTCCTGGCTCCAACCAGTACTAAGCAATGGGTGTTAAGTTCCTTGCTAAGGGAAACAATGGTCTCCCCCTGACAGGGTTTGAACCCATGCGGTCTGCAATCCTTAGATTACTAGTCTGACGTGTTAACCACTTGGCCACGCCTCCACATATTTATTGATTTAGTGTTACAGGAACATGATAAAAAATTAGTAAAGAAGTATTATTACATGCTTTTCGGTGGTCTATAGAAATATATCAGTGATATAAAACTGGTAATTTCACTGTTTGAAACAGTGAAATTACCACTTTGATAATTTCACTGTTTTGAATTTAAGCCCCTTACGTTGTTTCAGTGAAATACCAGTGTGCACAGTACTGGGTACCAACTTAATGACGTGACGTCGCAAATGACGTCACGTTGTATTATTATTTGGCGCGCTTTTCATGAAATATACCTTTTGGTGCTCACTCGGTGAAATATATTCCGATCTTACACTGAACTAAACAAATATCCTCTATGTAAACATGAAATTATAACTACATCCCCACCACATAAATAGTGTGAGGAAGGGCTATAGTCATGAAGGTCTGTCAGTAAGTCCATCTCCAAATAATTTGTCAGCTCTATAAATTCCATACTTTTTTTGGGGAAAAAAAAACTTTAGTAAAATATTCACCTAAACAAGGTAATGTGCAGAAACCATGCAACAGCTGTGTCTGCTCAAGATCAAGGCCACTCATGAATATCAAATGTTAGAATTTTATGTGTCTGATTCATTAATTCTAAACCCCTTGAAGATTTTTTTTCAATCTTGACTCAAATGATGTGAAGATCCCATACCACTGCTACCCTGCCTAAAGGTCAATGCCTAAATTGGGACGGATACAGGGATGCACAGACAGAGAGATTTCTTATATTCCCCGTGGGTAATTAGTGAGACAGAGTTACTTAAAAAGATATTATTACAGTATAATTATTGACGTTGTTTAACATGATATTGTAAAAATTGTAAAATTTCACGGTTATCAGAAAATTACTTTAGAATGTACTGTTACAGTATTATGGAGCCTGGTCAAATTACAAGGAGGCAATTAATTATCTGTGTAAGGAACAGAAGTACAGATACAAGGCTCAAGTTACGGCTAAAGAAAAAGGTCTATTACCAGTTTCTAAGAAGTCAGAGTCGGGGCGGAAAACAAAGGTAACATTTATGATGCATTTTTATTATCAAATTTTATCAGTATTTGATACCAGGTTTGTCTTTTCTATTAAAGAAATAATATATCCCAATCACTAATTTTATCGCTAAATAAGTCGCTGGAGTTTGGATACGAGGAATTATATCACAAAGACGTAGTCCTCGTGATATAATGATGCACATCTGGATGACAAACAGTGATGTTATCAAGCTATAAAATCATTGACTGGGATATATTATTTTGATTCTAACACAACAACAACAAATAATGCTGCCATACTTGATATCAAGTTAATTGCACCTGATTTGTTTCCGTACTTATTTTTAGCATGTCACATTTTTAATGGTTCTGTAACATGTCTAATGGTTATGTCACATGTCTAAATATAGAACGTCAACAGCAATTTTGTTGCTTAGTAATACACACTTTCCATCCTTCTATGTTCAATAGGGAAAAATGTGGGTTGTGTTAGAATAAATGATAATGTTAGAAAATAGATATAAGTGTTCAAAACACATTCTGCTAACCGATTCTAATATAAGGTCACCAGAATATAAATTGCAGCTAATATGGAAATTAATTCAGTAACATATATAGCTCCTTTGCTTGCTGGACTTTTTGAAATCATTAACAAAAGTTAGTATCCAAGACCCACCCATAATCAAGCCTGGATTTGATTGAATTGTAGCCCATTGTTAACTTAGAAAATGCCTGTTTAAAGTTTGGCATTCCAGATCGATATCTACAATGTATTTATCCTGGAGATTTTCACTTGGAACACAACTCATTTCTTTGAGATCATAATTGAAGGTGACTGTCACTGTGATTATCAAGTTGTAGCTCTTTGTTTACTTTAAAAATGTCAAGTTAAAGTTGTGTATACAAGATTACTTTCTCACATGTTTTGTCAGTGTTATAATTTTGGGTCACATTCTTAAAGCCCATAGATCTAGCTTGCATTTTAAGTGAATTATTGCCCACTTTGAAATGGAAATTCCTGGTTATAGTTTTATTTGCTAGATTAGACACTACCTCTGCTGAACGATGCTGCATGAGAATTTACACACTGTCAAAGATGTATAACTCTAGAATGCCGTTTGCTTGAATTAACAGCCTTTTGTATGCTAAGAAAATTCTGTCATGTATTTTGAATAAAATTTTCCTCTTGAGAACTACTACATTTACCAAACTTTTTTTTATCAAGCACATAGTATAGTCAAGCCCAATGGCCTCCTGTGAGCCCGTGTTTTATACAGTGGTTTATATCACACACCTATGCTATTTTTGCGACTCTGTAAAAATGGTATTGCATGGCGAAGCATATATTTTGACGTGACGTCATTAGTGTTATTAGCTCGACTTTTTTTTTTTTGAAAAAAAAAGTAGAGGTATTGTTATAGTCAGGTCGGCGTTGCCGTTGCCGTCTCCGTTGCCGTTGCCGTTGCCGTCCGAAAACTTGTACCTGGATCATAACTTTTTTATTTCTTGGTGTATTGTCTTCATACTTGGCCACAACAACCCTTGGGACAAGACCTTTCAGTAGACCACACTAACCTTGACCTTCATCCATAAATGACCTTGACCTTCAAGGTTAAAAGTCCAATTTTTGCTTGTTCATGCTGTTATTGGCTGTTACTTTGTTATTTTTGAATGGATTGTCTTCAAAACTTGAACATAATAATCTTCAAGGATATCCCTTAAAAATAACCAGTCAGACCTTGACATTCACTCATCAATGACCTTGACTTTGAAGGTCAAATTATTGAAATTTTCATTTTTTGGCTATTATTGGCTGTAACTTTGTTATTTTTGAATGGATTGTCTTCAGACTTGAACATAATAATCTTCAAAGATAACTGTTAAAAAATATACCGAAAGACCTTGACCTTCACTCATTAATGACATTGCCTTTGAAGGTCAAATTATTGAAATTTTCATTGTTTTGGCAGTAACTGACTGTAACTTTGCTATTTTTGAAGGGATAAACTTCATATTATAACAGAACATTCTTAAGGACCAGACCTTGTTGTTTATCAAACCCAAATTTGCTTGGGCTCTTTAATGACCTTGACCTTGAAGGTTATATTACTGAATTTTCTCAGATTGTGCATTTATTGGTGTGTGTGTATGTATAGTATATGTATTATATATATATATATAAATGTGTGTGTGTATATATATACATATATGCAGGTATATATATATATAAATATATATATATGCATGTATATATATATATATACATATATAGATATATATATATATATATCAAATATATATATATATATCAAATATATATATATATATATATATACATATATATACATGTATATAATTGCATCATGTTTTTCTATTTTTAGAAATTGCGTCATTGTTGCTATTTTTAGAAATTGCGTCATTTTTTTCTATTTTTAGAAATTGCGTCATTTTTGTTCTATTTTTAGAAATTGCGTCATTGTTTCTATTTTTAGAAATTGCGTCATTTTTTCTATTTTTAGAAATTGCGTCATTGTTTCTATTTTTAGAAATTGCGTCATTTTTTCTATTTTTAGAAATTGCGTCATGTTTTTCTATTTTTAGAAATTGCGTCATTTTTTTTCTATTTTTAGAAATTGCGTCATGTTTTTCTATTTTTAGAAATTGCGTCATTTTTGTTCTATTTTTAGAAATTGCGTCATTGTTTCTATTTTTAGAAATTGCGTCATGTTTTTCTATTTTTAGAAATTGCGTCATTTTTTCTATTTTTAGAAATTGTGTCATTGTTGCTATTTTTAGAAATTGCGTCATTTTTTTCTATTTTTAGAAATTGCGTCATTTTTTTCTATTTTTAGAAATTGCGTCATTTTTGTTCTATTTTTAGAAATTGCGTCATTTTTGTTCTATTTTTAGAAATTTCCTCATTGTTTCTATTTTTAGAAATATCGTCATTGTTTCTATTTTTAGAAATTGCGTCATTTTTTCTATTTTTAGAAATTGCGTCATGTTTTTCTATTTTTAGAAATTGCGTCATGTTTTTCTATTTTTAGAAATTGCGTCATGTTTTTCTATTTTTAGAAATTGTGTCATTGTTGCTATTTTTAGAAATTGCGTCATTTTTTTCTATTTTTAGAAATTGCATCATTTTTGTTCTATTTTTAGAAATTTCGTCATTGTTTCTATTTTTAGAAATTTCGTCATTGTTTCTATTTTTAGAAATTGCGTCATTTTTTCTATTTTTAGAAATTGTGTCATTGTTGCTATTTTTAGAAATTGCGTCATTTTTTTCTATTTTTAGAAATTGCGTCATGTTTTTCTATTTTTAGAAATTGCGTCATTTTTTCTATTTTTAGAAATTGTGTCATTGTTGCTATTTTTAGAAATTGCGTCATTTTTTTCTATTTTTAGAAATTGCGTCATTTTTGTTCTATTTTTAGAAATTGCGTCATTGTTTCTATTTTTAGAAATTGCGTCATTTTTTCTATTTTTAGAAATTGCGTCATGTTTTTCTATTTTTAGAAATTGCGTCATTTTTTCTATTTTTAGAAATTGTGTCATTGTTGCTATTTTTAGAAATTGCGTCATTTTTTTCTATTTTTAGAAATTGCGTCATTTTTTCTATTTTTAGAAATTGCGTCATTGTTGCTATTTTTAGAAATTGTGTACTGTTGCTATTTTTAGAAATATGCTTAATGTTTCTATTCATATATATACAAAATATATAAACAAAACTAATGTGACAAGACAGACCAACTAAATTTATAAAAAGGAAACATCAATATATGTTCAAACCTTTCTATGTTTGCGTTTAGAAAAAGTAAAAAGTCGAGCGTTGCCCCCGCCGGGCGGTGGCTCTTGTATGAACATAGCGTTAAGACGCGTTAAATATTAGCGTTACACTAAAGGCACATCAATGAAAAATGGTTCTTTCTCACTTCAAGCTCTATATTTTTGGTATGTGATAAATAGAAAATGAAATTTATGTCACTTCATTACTGAATTTATTGAACTCGTTTGATAAAATAATATTATGCTGGCCAGAGGCTCGCGTAATATAATATTTTATTCAGCTTGTTTAATAAATCCAGTATTAAACTTACACTCATTCAATATCCTCAACTTACACTCATTCAATATCCTCAACTTACACTCATTCAATATCCTCTATGTATTTTTAGCTCGACTATTCGAAGAATATGAGAGCTATTGTAGTCGCCCCGGCGTCGGCGTCAGCGTCCGCGTCGGCGTCTGCGTTGGTTAAAGTTTTTTGTAAAGTCAAATATCTCAATTATTACTTGAGATATTCAATTGAAACTTACAATACTTATTTATAGTAACAAGGTACATCAGATTGACAAGTTGGATAACTCTGCCTACAATATTGACAGAATTATGCCCCTTTTTAACTTAGAAATTTTGGTTAAAGTTTTTTGTAAAGTCAAATATCTCAATTATTGCTTGAGATATTCAATTGAAACTTACAATACTTATTTATAGTAACAAGGTACATCAGATTGACAAGTTGGATAACTCTGCCTACAATATTGACAGAATTATGCCCCTTTTTAACTTAGAAATTTTGGTTAAAGTTTTTTGTAAAGTCAAATATCTCAATTATTGCTTGAGATATTCAATTGAAACTTACAATACTTATTTATAGTAACAAGGTACATCAGATTGACAAGTTGGATAACTCTGCCTACAATATTGACAGAATTATGCCCCTTTTTAACTTAGAAATTTTGGTTATAGTTTTTTTGTTAAGTCAAATATCTCAATTATTGCTTGAGATATTCAATTGAAATTTAAAATACTTTTTTATAGTAACAATGGACATCAGTTTGCAAAATTGCATAACTCTGCCTGCAATATTTGCAGAATTATTTGCCCCTTTGAAAGTTAGAAATTTTGGTTAAAGGTTAAAGGTCTTCAAAGATATTTACTTGAAACTTTACACATGCACTTAGGGTCATAATTGGAGGGTCATAATTGTATGTCACTGACCAAGTTCCATAACTCTATCTTGCATTAAGGCTGATTCATATTCCCTTTTCTACTTAGTCTCTTGGTTAATGTTTACATGCAAGTTTTACATATCTCAATAACTATTAAAGATATTTATTCAAAACTTCACATATGCATTTAGGGTCATAATTGTAGGTCACTGACAAAGATCCATAATTCTATCTTGCATTTAGGCTGATTTTTCTCCCCTTTTTCAACTTAGAAAGTCATGGTAAAGTTTTGCTTGTACACTGTTATCTCAATAACTACTGAAGGGTTTGTGCCTTTTTTGGGACAATTTTATGCATTCATAATAATAAAGCAGTGATTTACTTGATAAAACATCTTAATAACAAGCCTTTGTACCTTTTCTGTCAAATTTATGTATTCATAGGTTATTAGTATTAAAAACACCCTTGTGACATTACCTTAGTCAAGCCAATACTGTATAATTGGCCTATAACATGAATTTATAAAAAAAAATTGGCCCTTTAGTGAACTTAAAAAATTTAACATTATCAAGGCTCTTTTACTATCAAGCACTTAGAATAGTCGAGCATGCTGTCCTACCGACAGCTCTTGTTTATATTTATAGGAAGAGATGAAACAAGAAGAAGAAGCCATTATTAAACAAATTATTGAAGATAACATGGATATAAGGTGAGAACTGATTCTTGTCTGCTCTACTGACCAAACTTATAACATAATTGAGCCGCGTCATGACAAAACCAACATAATGGGTTTGCGACCAGCATGGATCCAGACCAGCCTGCGCATCCGTGCAGTCTGATCAGAATCCATGCTGTTCGCTATTATTTTCTCTACTTGTATAAGGGTTGGTAAGCGAACAGCATGGATCCTGATCAGACTGCGCGGATGCGCAGGTTGGTCTTGATCCATGCTGGTCGCAAATCCATTACGTTGGTTTTGTGTGATATGTTTTTAAGGTAAAATACTGTGATATGTCCTGATATGTCTTATTTTAAAATACGTAGATTTGACATTTGTCTTTAAAATAGTTTCAAATATAAACAGTACTAACTTGGACATTATTGTTACAAATATATTATTTGATATTTTTCTAAACATTAAATAAGTTAAGATGAAATCACCTTAACAATATTCAGCCTTTACACAGTGTTACGTAACTTCTGAACAAAATTAATTTCTATGCACATAAGGGCATTAGGGATCTTCCTCCACCAGTGAAGCTGGATTGTAACTATATGACTTATACTTTGTTGGTGTGACATAAAACCCTGTCACAACAACAGTAGTTTCTTGTTTTTATACATATATTTGAGCCGTGTCATGACAAAACCAACATAGTGGTTTTGCGACAAGCATGGATCCAGACCAGCCTGCGCATCCACGCAGTCTGATCAGGATCCATGCTGTTCGCTATCAGTTTCTCTACTTGCTATAGGGTTTGTAAGCAAACAGCATGGATCCTGATCAGACTGCGCGAATGCGCAGGCTGGTCTGGATCCATGCTGGTCGCAAACCCACTATATTGGTTTTGTCATGACATGGTTCATTTCTATACTTTTAGGGGAGGATATAGAAAGCCGACATATACAGATGTATTATGGGTTCAACTTTTGTTTAGCCCGTATTATCTGTTTATGTATATAAAGTGGTATATTAGATGGATCTGGAAGTTTAAGATTAAAGGAGAAGAATATGGCACGGAAGAGAAACTATATATGATACGAAAATATCTTAAACTTAATTCTAGCCAATTTGATGTAAGTAGTATATTTGTACTTTATCTACAGTGTTCCTTTGATTCTACTCTATTTGTTCTATGGTGTTTCTTGATTTTATGTGGGGTATTTATCAATATAATGTTAATAATTAAGTGTTTACATAATGGCCTTGTTATTGGGCTGAAAACTGTTTAGTGTTATTTTAGCCTGAGGCCAAAGGCTAATATGACAGTCTAAAGCCCAATAACAGTGCCATTATGAGAACACTTAATTATTGACAATTTTATTAATTTACTACACATAAGCTAAAAAAAGTTAAGTAGTTAGTGAACAAAAAATAGTATTGTGAAATTCCGTTTTGTTAGGTATTGCAAATGAGATTCTTGTTTTAAAAATGTCTCGGAAACCTATCTTGCAGCAATTCAAAATGGCAACTTTTTTCAATGAAAAAAAAAGCAGATTCATAATGGTCGAGCTGGAGAGCCAATCAAAATACTCCAATCTCATAATAGCCGAGTTATCTCATAAAGGTCGTACTATTTGCATTATGGCCTTGTTTTATGTTCATAATGTTGTGGTAAACTTCATATTTGCCTTATATTTGATGTGAAAATGTGCCCAATATCGAAAAGTTAATTAATAAATTTTCATAATGTTCATTCCACCTGCCAGTTTTGGATTAAGTCTAAGCAAGGAAGTCCTAAGCCGAGACAGCGTAATTCTGAACCTTTGTATATACTTCTGAAATGTTTGAAATCTGTAAGTAAAACATATGATCAAGATCTTGTTGCATGGTGCAATTCAGAATACTAATTTTGAACAAAAACATCATTTATTCTTTGTTTTAGTGAACTGATAAATACATTAGATTGCCTTCATCTTGAGATAATCATGTTTTTCAAAAATTAATCACTATTATGTTAATAGAATTATTAAACTTTCAGGCATTAGAGGAACATGAGAAGGAGAAATATTTACACAAAGAACTCTGGATTAGAGAACATTTTGAAGTAAGATTTTTTAATATATATTGTAGAATATGTGTGTTCAAATTAATTAAACAGAGTCAGCAATTTTCATATAATTTTGTTGTGATTGTTGATTCAGAGGGATGATACTTGTACAGATTTTCATAAAGAAGGAAGTGTTTGTTCATTATCAGTTGTTTTCTGTTTATGTAAAGGATAGAGTTAGTTATAGTTAAATATATATATTTTTTGTAATGTCAGGTAAAGATGTAATTGTTACTTTATAATGATAAGTATGGAAGTGATTGTTCTGTTGTAATGAGGTATGGAAGTAATTGTTATTTTATAATGTCCGGTATGAGAGAAATTGTAATTGTCATTTTAAAGTGTAAAGGGACTTTGGATTTTTTTCATGTGAGGAAGCTATCCAGCTAGCTTACTGAACATCAGTGGTTCTACTAGGGTGCTGGTTCGTGCCTGAAATAATGCACGGAAGGGCACCTGAGGTCTTCCTCCACCAGTAAAGCTGGAAAGTCGCCATATGACCTATATTGTTTTGGTGTAATATAAAACCTAACAAAAAAAGGAATGGATGTTATTGTTATTTTATAATGTCAAAAATATAAGTTATTGTTATACATTATGATATATATTGTTATATATATTATAACATCAGGAATGGAAGAAAGAACAAGATGAAGAAATGAAGACAAAGTTAGCTGAGAGTGCAAGATATAAAAGTTATAGACGTTATATGAAGAAGGGTGGAGCTGGACAAATGACTTTCGGACCAGAATAACGATAACATTATTATAGGATTATATCTTCTTGTGTTCATGTTTCTAAGTTTAAAACATAGTATATGAAATTGATTGTAAGTTATTGGATGAAGTATTAGGGAAGTTTGCTCAGCTGGTTCAGCAAACTGTAACTGTAAAGTAGTTAAACAGACTGTAGTGACAAGCAGTGAGCAAACTGTTACAGGGTCATATTGTATTACTGCTTTAGAAGAATAATATAGATTATATTAACAGCTAAAGTACAAAAAATTTAACATATCCTTTCTCTCTTCATGAATTTGTGATAGTGTACTTTTTAAACATTGTATGTTCTTGAGATGTGTCCTAGTTTTAGTTATCAGCTCAACTATTTAAATGAAAGGAGGGAGTTTTGGCCTGTTTATTAGAGATTGTGTAACATTTGGTTAAGATTTGACATATAACTATGTTTCACATTTACCATTGTAACTTAACATCTCTTTAGGATAAAAATAATGAACAGGTTTTCGGTATAAAAATAATTAACATGTCCTCAGGATAGAAATGATTAACATGTCCTCAGGATAAAAATGATTAACATGTCCTCAGGATAAAAATAATTAACATGTCCTCAGGATAAAAATAATTAACATGTCCTCAGGATAGAAATGATTAACATGTCCTCAGGATAGAAATGATTAACATGTCCTCAGGATAGAAATGATTAACATGTCCTCAGGATAAAAATAATTAACATGTCCTCAGGATAGAAATAATAGATTATTATGTAAGACCTATAACTCTTAGTGTATTAAGGATTTTTACTTGATTGTCTCCCTGAAAAAAAATACTTAAGTAGGATAAGTTTTACATTACTTAAATTGGACACATTTTACATTACTTAAGTTGGATAAGTTTTACATTGAGAATTATTCTCTTTAATTATAGAGTATGTTCACTAGAAGCTTCTCTTGTGTCTAGGATCATGATTGTCACTGTCCAAGAACCATCACTCTGGCATGGAATTGGACTGAATTATTGCCCTTTGTGAACTTTGAAAATGCTGTTTTTATGAAAAGAAAGAAATGAAAATCATATCTGATAGTATGAAATATACATGTATTAGAAATAATGTACAAACATACAAGTGTTTGTTTAGAAATATTGGAATGAGGAAAATTAACTTGTATATCTACATGTTTGAAATCTTATTTCTTCTATTGTTTATCTGTACTTATAATGTAAATGTTTTGCAGGGCGGCAGTTGTCAAGTGGTAAAAATTGTTAACTTCAAACCACCTTTTACCTTAATACTGTTTGTTAGAATCCTGAGGGGGATTTTTAGATTCTTTTATGTGAGGGAGCAATCCAGCTAGCTTTCAGAACATTTGGTTGTGCTACTAAGGTGCCCATCTATGTCTGACTACTAAAGTGACCAATAATGTCTGAAATAATGCACAGAAGTGCACCGGAGGTCTTCCTCCACCAGTACTGGAAAGTCCCTATTTGACCAAAACTGTGTTGGTGTGAGTTAAACCAAAATAAAACAAAAAAAGCAACACACTCCTGGACAAGTATAATTGGCTCAAGTGTAAGTTTTTTTTTTGTTTTGAATGAATATAAGGTATTTGAGGTACAGCTCTAGCTTCTAGCTCTACTTAATGTGTTGAGAAGACATTATAATTGGCAGTAATGTCAAACTGTAACAGTAAAAGCTCATCTTTAATGTTTCAGTTATGTTTCATTCATGATAAAATTGTAGTTAGAACTGCTCACAGAATTTGTTTCAGAAATGAAGGTTTGATCATAATCTGTGTATGCTCTGAATGCATTAATTTGCGAAAAAGTTATCTGTAAAGACAGGAGTGTATATTTCGCTGACATTTTCTAGTATTGGTTTTTCTTGCTTTTATTCTGTAAGAGTTGTGTCCCCTGTAATAATCATTTACAACAGTGAAGAATCTCATCTATTGATTGTAGTAAGGTAATAATTTGTGATAAAAACTACTTAGCAATATCTTTAAATAAGGACAAAATAGTTATTATTTTGTAAATATTTTTGATAAATAGATATCGCGCTACAAATATTTTACCATATTTTTTTTATTTGATTTTGGCATTAACATCTATACTGTATAATGTATGAACACAACGTATATAAGAGCTAGAATTCGGTAACACTAAAATGACATCGTTAAAAGATGCTAACTGTTTGTTTTTAGCTTTTTAAAAGTTTGAGCAAGATTTTTTATCTCAATGCTCTAAATTTAGGAATTAATGGTTGGTCTACTGATATAAGTTTCTATTTAACTTTTCTTTTTTTGTCAAAATAATGATCCTAGTTTAATGTTTTATAGAAATTTGTAGTATTACTTACTTAAAATCTAGTTTTACTAGAACAATGTAACTATCATTTTTACAACTGTTATAGGTAATGTAATGTCACCAAAGAAATTGTCAATAGTATATTGTTGGTTTTTATTTTAAAGGGGATTTTATTGTCTCATTTTGAAAAGGTTAACAGGTCAAACTAGTAGTTCAGTTACATCTGATTATATTCTGTGGTTTAAGTTATATGAATAAAATAATATTAGATATTTATAGATATTGGTCATGTTGTTTTTTCTGTGAACAAACATAATGTAGTGTAACATGTATTGACTAACTATAGTCTGTCTAGAATGTTGATCATATTTAAGGGGCATGTCACACATATGTATGTAGGTAAGTGAAGAATACATGGTTTTGTTCAGATGTGGAAAGTAATCATAAAGTAGGTTGTTGGCATCAATTCTGTATAATTGAATTTAGTGTTTGCTAATATATTTACACATGTGACAGTGATGATGGCGGAGAACTAGATAAAGTTCAAGGTTGAGGTCACACTCCAGAGATAGCATCAGCTAAAAACAGTTTGCCAAGACGATTATTTGTCCACGGTAAACCGTATTTCAAATATTCTTTTGGAAAGACCCTTCTCTGTCATTAATACAAGCATATTAGAAAAAACTTGGTACAAACACTAACAATAGACAAAGATTATACATATTTGATAATTTTTTTCATCTCTTGACAGAATTGTACAATATACTACCATGGGGCATGAAAAAGTAGGCTCTTGTGATGTGATAGATTGAATATGATTTAACATAATGTAGACTGGTACAGATCACATCTCGGATGCAGTCTACGTGACGCTATTTTGCAATAAGTTATATGAAGTAACTAAAGAAATAATGTATTTAAAAGTAAAATATTGTTGAAAAAAAGAAAGTAATTTACACGTAGCAAAATTTACTCTAAGTATGTCAGAATATGCAAAAGCAGGCCTTACAACGTTAGTCACGCACTAGAAATATGGTGATGAATTCTTCAATATCGGTCGTTAATTTCATATAACATCGGAATTAGTTTTTGAATATTTTTGCTTTTCTAAAATACTTGTACATTATTTTTAAGTTTGATTTCCTTGAAATATTTTGGCTCATCTGCTGGCATGCAGTCCTTTTCAACTGACAGTCAATAACAATATGGGGAATTGCTAGTCATATTACAGTCATATTATAATAGTACAGTTTAATGGCTCTCCAGTCCATTACACTTATCACAAACTTATCTTGACATGATAGGACTTTATCTGTTATTTTATAATGTAAATTTTGACCAAAGTCATTCATTACATATTTTACTTGATATTTATTTATATATTTAAACAAAGATATAATATATGCTATATAAGTGCGTGTATTCAATATTTATGATCAATCTTCAAATGAAAGTCCATATTGATTCACTTGTTCCACTAGCTGATGAACCTTTTCTGCTTCCTCCCGTGACAAAACTTCCTTCCAAGCACCAGATATACCTGTAAAGATATAATACAATTATATTTACTAAACAGGGTGTTGTTGAATCAGTATTCATGAACACCTATATTATACATGAGAACAGTTTCTTTAAGCCCTTGAATAATGACTCACTTTTGCCTCTAGTACAAAGTCAAGTCAGCTAACATATTAAACTGGTTGCCGATCAAATATTTGATTTTGCTATCGTCACACCTTTGAAAGCATTCAACTGTTTAAAATTCAAATCAATTTTTAATGTAACGTACGAACACTGCCTGAAAAAGAACAATACAAAAAATGGATCACGGAACACGAAATTGACAACGAAGTATCTTCAAAAGTGCCAACCTTTGTTTATAAAGCCACCTGTGACGTCATCAGTGCCATGTTTATACTTTCTGTGGTATGACATGTTTAATTTGTCATTGTTGCGCATCTTGTCTATATGACAACAATCACTTATCTTTATGACGTCATCATCGCTGATATTCTGTTGTAAGAAGCGTGCAATTTTTCTTACTGTTTGAGGTATGTCCTATAACAAATCATCAACGCTTAATGATTATCATTAAAATAGGTTTTTTTAATAAATGCGGCGTTCTGGTATAAATCAAAATTTTAAACATTTTTTATTTTTATATTATTACGAGTATATAACTAAATTTAGATGCATGATAAAATATAGAATATAATTAATCATTCTGTATTTACTTTTACATTTTTTGTTTAATTTATTTCAGCAAATATTTAGAAAATGAATGTTAAGGATAAATATAGGTTACCTTTATAACGTCATCATATTTAAGGAAAAGAACATTTTTGTCATTCCTTCTTTGCCAGAATTCAGTCACATGCCGTGGCCATGGACAATACAACCCTAAAAGCATTCATACTAATTCTTTTATCAAATGCAAAGCATATCTAACCTCTCGTCCACAAAACATGCTGAACTTGTTGTGAAGATAAAGGCTAGTATTATGCCACTAAATTAACGACATTGCTAAGTATGAACAAATGTGTATTTGATTTCACTTCTTTTAAAATAATCCGAAAAAAATAGGGAAATAAGAATCCCTAAAGAAAGCCTAAAACGGCAAAATTGAAAATGTTGCAGGCTCGGTTTAATTGAGCCTGATCATTAATGGTACTGTCAAGTGCAAACTGCCGTCACACCCCCTAGCACCGGTCGTTTGCATTTGTTTATAGGTATTTCTTAAATGAATAAATAAATAAGTACATAACAACAGATAATCTCTGAATAGAAGTAATAATGAACGTACCAGATCCATTTACAAATGACTCTAAAAATTCGTTCCAAGCCTTTTCGTCATTCGATAGTTCATTTGTCCACTTTAATAAATTGTATGCGGACACTATAACGTCCTTCGGGTTTCTTGCAATATATATAATCTGAAAAGTGATCAAGTTAACCAATTATAAAAAACAATGTAACGAAATTACAATATAAGTAAAAAGGAGGAAAAACATTATTCTCTTGACTAAGCTTTTATATGAAGGAACTGGAAGATACCGTGCAAAACTTGTTTAAATACGTTTTTTCTTTTAAATCAGAATCTCTCGTTGCTCCACTTTTGTAAATAATAGATATTCATAGTGCGAGAATTTGTTGTTAATTCAAATGCTCTTTTATCGCAGGAAACTTCTAAATGGAATGGTTGATTGATATTCTACTCTTAAAGAAATCTTTGTTATACGTTTCCTGTGAACAAATACATATAACTGTCAATGTACGATGTTAACAACAGATATGTCTGCGACAGAAATGACCTTGTATTTACATTAAATGTCAGTTCCGCAAGTATACATTTGACTATAAACGACGTATGTTCATTATAAAGACATTTGTGAACAAAATCAATTGAAATAGTTTTGCGATATGTTTACATGTGGAAAAAGCCGTAATTATTTCATTTTTATTGTCAATGCCTCTTTACCAAAGGTTTACATAGGAGAGCTAAGTAAATAACTGATAACTAATGTTTAAAGTTTATCAAGTTTGTACCAAAGGAAGTATATTTCCCTCGTATATATAAGTCAACTTAACACTGAAAATTCTGAGATAGTATAAAGCTCTAATGCAACAAGACTGTAAAACAAACATTGGGTTTAAATTTGGTGTACGCACCCGACCCTTGCCATTCCGCAATTGTTCTGGTAAAAGAAAATGATGTAAATGGCACTTTATCATCCTTGGCGATGCTAATTTCTCTATATGCTCAACTCCTGTATGACACAGATTAAAAGAAATCAAACAAGGCGGTTATATCACTCTCTTATATAAAGTTAAAATATTTTGATATTTTAATTCTAAATACCGAAAACTTAATTCAACGTACCAAGATGTAAGGCCAGTGTTCTTTTTTAATAACACAACTACATGGAAAACGAACAATTTAATAATTAATAATATTTTCATGACAATATCTAGTTCCTATTAACATGTTATTATTTTCAAACACCTTTACTTACACATGTAAAACATACAATCAATTGATTTGTCAACTCCACATCTATTGTCTTCCACAATAACTCAAAACATTATTGAAACAACTCTGTTGGAAGATAAATTGAAGTGTAGAATAAATGCATCTATATGTTAGTAGACAAAATAACATTTTCTATTGTATCTTCAATCATACAAACATACCTCTATAATAAGGAAATCTGTCATCTTTCATGTCAACTTGCGGGAACCTGTCATCAAGTTGAACAGATGTGACTTGTTCAAAATCAAGCGTCATCACAAGCCAGACTATCTGCTGGGTAAGCGTTGTTCCTGAAAATTTTGTTTCATGAGTATTAGATGAATAATTGCTTGGATGCCTAGTGGATAGTGGTTCTAGGTGTATATCTATACACATTTTTTTATTAAACTAATATTAGTTTGCTGTATTCTTTATCTTTCGTTATTTCATGTTTTCATCCTCTTGAAAACAGATAGTAAAAACCACTATTAATACGTTTTAACATTAAAATAACATTTGTATTGATCAATCTCTTTTTATCTCAGAACAAAATTACATCAAGGAATGGTGTAATGAGATTAAATTTCAAACCTGATCTTGGGTAACTGCAGACCCAGATGTCATCTTCTCGTGTATCCATTGTTTCTATCATTTCTGCTTCATTATATCCCATCAAGATTCCTTTATATTCCCTAAGACGAACTTTTATTTTCTCATCACATCCTTCAGTAGACATTTTTGTCTTTCAAGTTTGCATTATAATAGTTTATTATCATATGTATATATGCCATTGACCTAGCTAGCTCTTAAACCTTTACTATATACATGATTAAATGACCGCCATATCTTCGTTATTACACTGTGGCTATTTTTGGAGATTTACAAAGGTTTAAATGGTCCGAAATTTTAAATGTTTAATAATTTCAAACTTATAAATTTTAAATGGTTTATTATAAAATGTTGAATTAATTGAATAAGATATTTTGTAATGTTTTTATAGTTGAATTATGTTGTCGGATTTCTGTTTTTTTGTTTTACTTTTTCAAGTCATAAATGGCGTCTATCGATTTCATAATTGATTACTTGGTTATGAACCTTTCCAGATCTCACAGATATCTGAAGTTCATTGTTTTTAAATTATTGAATTGATATCAATATTGACGGTAATAAACGATATATTATCTCGAAGATTCCCTGAACAAATAAATCTATGAATAGACCATTATCATAGAGGTTATTAGTTCAAACACTAGTAAATCATGCATCGATTTTTTAAAGTAGAGTCGATTATGTAGATGTTTAATGTTCAAATTATAATGAAATTTAGTGTTATTATAATGAGTGTACTTTATTAAAATGCCTTAATTTAAGAACATGTGTTAATATTGATACTAACTGTATTTCTTACATAGAGAAATGATGAAATACAGACAGCATAAAAGTTACAAAGACTTGTGACAGCTCATTATAATTAGTTTCCTTTACTTTTATACTAGATAGTGAAATAGAACATTTCACATATAATATATAATGTTCATAATTGTTACAGTGTAGGTACCTTATGCGAAAATATATTCAAATGACAAGAGAAATTTAAAGATACTACCTGAGCTGCGTCATTCTGATAGACATGTGCTTAATTGCATTAAACCATGTCTTTTTTGAAAGGAAATGCTCATTCATTCCCAATTAAAATACCAAATACGGTCAATAAACACTGCAAAAATGATATTTTAATCAGCAATGAAAAAGACAACAGCATTAACAAAAAAGAATGAACGAAAATACATTAAAGTTTCGTGAAAATCCATTTCATTTCATCAGAAGTACACAAACAATTATAACACATTTAGTAAGATTTTGTTAAGCTAGCATAATAACGACAGTAAGATTATCTAGTGTTATGCCAGCTTTCCAAAATAAATAGCTTCACACATACTCGACAAAAGTTAAGCTTACTTAACAAATTGATATAATAAATTTATAAACAAATAGTAGTAAAACAAAAATTTTAATTTAGAGGCGATGTCTTTTTTTAAAGATATTTTAACACAGTGAAATGAATTTTAATAGAAAACCCAATGTTAGGCCAGCTTTACAAGTTGATACAAAATACTCACTTTATATGAAAAACAATGAACAAGTCGCATTTGTTATGCCAGCATAGCAAATTGATATGAACTATAAAGGTTTATGAAGAGCTTAATTTTGTTATGCCGGTTTATTTGATACAATATATAATGTGTATGAAACGTTTTTTTTTTTAAAATTGTTATGCTGGCTAAAGAACCTTTTTTGCCTTAGACTCGTATATAAAAACTGAATATAGTGCAACTTACATTTTCTAAATGACGAATCTAAACAAACCCAAGGTTAAACTGGCTTAACAAAGTTATATAATATAAACTCTGTACATAAAAGAAGAAATAAATGAAATTCAGATTTCATCAACCCCGTGTAAAGCCATCTTCACAAATTGATAATCTATATGAATAATGAAATACTAAAATTTGATATGCTTTCTTAACAAATTGAATAATCTATATTGATATCTTTTAAAAGCTGAATCAAAGAAATTCATTGTTGAACTAGCTTAACAAAAGGATATACGATTACCCGTACAAAATGTAAATAAATAAAAAACAAAAATATCGAATTGAAATCAAATTTCATTTAGTCTGTGTTGAGCGAGCTTAACAAATTGATGTTATATAAGGATAAATGAAAGATATAAAATATAAATGAAAGTCGAAATGAAAATCAAACTTTATTTACTCAATTTTTAGCCAGCTGTACAAAAATTATATAGGAATATATGATAGACGCGAGTTTAACAACTTATCATTTAGATTCATATAAAATAAATATATTGGAATAACATTTATTCAAATTCTTAGACAAAGTAAGCAATGTTAAGTCAGCTATACAAATTGATGTTAGTAAATCATTATATATGAATAAATATCTGTACATCGTTTATAAGTTGTATTTGTCCAATTTCCTATTCTAGTAACTTTTAACGTCGATTTCTCCTTTGTATAATAATGTCAATATATTTACAAGTAGAGAAGGATTTCGTTGAAAACAGTACTTTTTACATTTATAGTGTCCATAAGTACTGTGCACTTTGTCAACTTAATTCTGGAAATAAGTTGTTATGAATTACTTATAGAATATGTGGGGTGTTATTATTATCTTCAATGTAATGCACTGATATCTTCAACAAGCAATTATTTCTAAAAGTACGAATGGAACAAAAACATTTTTATTTGAATTTTAGCACCAATGGCAAACACATCAATAAATTCAAGAAGGTATTTGGGATGATCACTATCAAAATATCTAACTTACATTAACATTTTATTGTTTTATTTATGAATTTACGAAGCAATCCTCATTGTTTAATGGTCGTCTTGTTTAACTTTATTGCATTTTGTTTCTAACTTGTTACTAAGAGCTCGGCATTTGTAACGACTATCAAGGTAGAAATCATGGTTACCCTGAAATAATAAAATTAATTTGACTATTAATAAGATCAAAACAAAGTATTAAAACCTATAAAAAATAACAAGTATTAACTGTGTGGAGGTCACGTATCCGTTATCTAAGTTATCAATAGAATTTTAATTAAATCATTGTGAAATGTAAATGATAAGTGATTTTTATTGACGTATTATAAGTATACCAATTACTGATTGCTATCATTTTATATAGTGAAGTGTTATAGATTATCATGATACACTGAAGGCAAATGATATTGTTTTAGAAATTTAAGTTGTTTAGATGATTATAGCAAGTACCTTGATAAAGTTAGTTAAAAGTGTTGTCTGAGATTTTGTGAGCGTGTCATTAAACCAAAATCGCACGGGCTTTAATTCTTTCTCAAGTGCTGTCAACTCTGATCGCAGTGTCGTCTGTAAGATACAATTCATATTTTCACATTAGAAATACAACTTCCTTACTTTTGTATTAGATCAGTACAATCTTGTTTAATTCAGTAAAACACTTTCAATTATTTTCTATGTTCTAAATACTTCATATGATAACTTACTATTTCTAATGAAGTTTTTCCTTTTTCTGTTGATGTTAATTCATTATGCTCCGAATAGTCCAAAATTTCTTCAAGCTGAAATATCAGAAAAGATAACAGCAAAACATATTAGTCTTATAAACATAATGTAAAATACGGTAATATAACAATATTTTTTCTCTTAAATGAATGAGGGTAGTTCCTATAAGACATTGACAACAGCGTTTAAATGCAAAATACTCAATAGGCTTCTTAAAGATTTTTAATGTTATATAATCAGCCAATGCTGACGTTACTAATCATTTAATAAATATACAAACTAAGGATGCACGTCAATAAATGTTTTGTTTTGTTGTTGTTGTTGTTGCATAAATCATCATGATTGCATAGATTTGCATATCTATTGCATATTAATAAATAAAGTAGTTACCTTTACAACAGTCAGTGATGTCTTTTTCTTTAAAGCTTTTAATTTGACATCAACATTTACAATATCCTGACAGATATTTGTTTCTAATGTTTGATGTCTAAACCAATACATGTCTAATTTCTGTTTCTCACTTATTCTTTCTTTACAACTTAGACACACATACAGTAACAGCGAAATGTTTGGTTCTTGAAAAGGCGCCTGAAATACAAAATAACAAACTGTAATCTAAAATATGTTGTTTGCTTAGATTAAAGTAATAGATTTTAGTTGATAAAATTGTAAAATACAGGTAAAAATTATGATAAAAAGAGAATTTCTGCTCAAAGTATCAACACATTATATAAGCACACTGCATTTTAAACGAGCTAAGAATCCATCACTTACCCCTGGTGTATTAATTATGGCCAACTTAGCATCTTCTGATATCTCGACGTTTTCCAAGTATAAAAGTAATTCTCTGTGTGAGCATTTTCTACAGAGAGCTAGGCCACACACACGACAGTTTCCCGTGCTTTTCCTGATACCTATATCACCTTTACATGCTCGACAAACTCGTGACTGTATCTCAATCTGATAAAAATAATATTATATTTTATATAATGTGCAATTTTTTAACCAAATTTTCTCTCTGAAAGTAATTTATATTTATTGATATTTTTTATTCTTATATCGCGCGCTGACCATTATTTTGTAAATCACTAATAACTTTAACGTAGTCTTAAGGATATTGCCTTAACTACTACTTATTAAATTGAATCTACACATTAGTATTTTGTAAATAATTCACTTATTGTCCTGAAAAGTAATCGACTGTTTATAGAAAATAATTTAAAACACTAACCTGGTTAGAATTTATAAGTACGTATTTACAAAATTGATTGGTCGCGAGGCTGCGCCGCTCCTGACCAATTTATTTTGTAAATACATACTTATAAACTTTAACCTATACATACTTAGAGGTATGCCCCTTTTAACTACCTTCTTAATTATAATTAATTACATGCATTACTAGTTTTTGTGATAATCAATTACCTTTTTGCCCTGATATGTAATAACTTTGCTAATGTTTAATCTTCAAGGGAATTTATGACAATGTTTAGAAAATGTCTTACTTTAATAAATAAATTACACCATATACAATACCAGCCGCTATAGATTCTCAAACAGAACTTTAAATTTAAAAAGCAAGACGAAAGTTCTTAGCTAACATATAAAATGTGATTCTAGAGGAAGGTAGCTGTATATAACAACATGTACACAAAATGTCGAAACCAAAACGGGACGAGAAGCATTTTACTTTAAAGTGGGTCATTTAACGAAAATATACCCGCATTAGGTTTGCCTTGGATATAAAGAAAACAAATCGATTTAATTAATTTCCATCGATCGTACATGTCATTCCCATGAAAAAGGTGAATTATTATCATTTGAAATATTTTTCCCTGCCTAGACTTAACGTATCTATACAAAATTAACTACCCTGTTTACCTTCTCTACAAAAAAGCTTTTAGAATAAATACCATAAACAATCAGGTATAAAACATTGTTATTGCTTATATGAATTATTAAGGTGAAATATTCTTACGTTCCAGTAGTTTGATTTTTGCCATGCTGGAGTTTTTAATTTCACTTTCAGTGCTTGCAGGGCGTTTGCAGATCCTAGCTGTCTGATTTCTTCTTGAAACCCAGTCAACAATCGTAGGCATTCTGTCTGTATGTCAATTCTAGTGAATAAAGTATACACATTTCAGTGAAAAAGAAAGTCACAAATCTGCCTTTAAAGGGAAAGTATTTTACAATCTGTGTTTTGCAATAAAATCAAGTATTTCTTCATGATTTAATATCTCAGTGAGCTAACCTTTACTTAACTGACTATAGCAATGAAGTTTCTCCGAAAGTTTAAAAAAGAAAAATTTCTTACTGATCTGGCCAAAATGTCGTAGTTAGAGAGTTAACTCTACTGTTTATAATTCTGCCATATTTGGCGAACGATCTCTGTTGGATAAAATCATCCATCAAATTTCTTGTTTGTCCAATCATCAATAATCCCTCTTCAAAACATGTGCGACAAACCTGCAAAACATCGAGTGGGATGTGAAAATAGTGTTAGGGTCAAAGACAGAAAAGGCCGGGTTGCATTTGTATTCCAAATATCATGAGATTGTGATGTTACAAAAATGTTAACCATTTGACCATCCAATTTCAACTAACTCGGTAAACAGGAAGTGGATAAACAACAGACCTGAAATCGAATCCCACGGTATGGGACCATATGTTGATGTTGTATACCAAATATCGAGATGCTGTGATAGGTATTTACTGAGAAAATGTTACAAAATATTTTTCCCACCCGCCCGCCGCTTGATATCCACCATTTTATATTCCGGTTTGCACCTGTGCAACCCGGCCAAAAAGTATATGTATCATTGATTACACAAGCATTTTGTCGTATAATAAAACATGTTGTCTGAAAGTAAGAAATTGTATATAACGTTCATTCTCTAACATAAATGTATGTTACAACCGACTGCTAGATCAATGTATAAAAGTAATATTCACTTTATAACAATATTTGAGAACCTCTCTTTTCCACAATTGACTGCCTTGATTAAAATTGTCAGTTTAAAAGACAAACAAAAAACAGCGATTAAATAAATGCTTTCATCTTATTACACGTAAAAAATACCTTTCTTAATTTTCCCTCAGGATCTGGGTTAGCAAGCATGTTCAGTTTTCTTTTATATTTGACACATTGTAAGCAAAACACACCTCCACATCTGAAATAAACATAACTTTAACTTGCAATAGTTAGGAATATTAAGACATTGAGTTTGTCAAACTTTTGCCCGATGTACAAATATTGCAAAAAGTTATTTTGATTGAATTTTGAATATAATTATCATTGATTGTATTATAGTATTTTACAAACAAGTTTGTAAATTTTCCTGTTTCAGAATTTGAGACTTTGAATAAATAGTTAAAATATAAGTTTTCCACAGTTGAATATAGTGATATTTCACTGATACTAGTCTAATATTTTCAATTTGTTTGATGGTTAGTAAAATCTATCAACATGTGTTTGTTGTTAGATGATGCTTTTATACATTAAAAGTATCAACATATTTATGATAAACAAGAAAATCTAATGAATGACTAAAATAAATTAAATATTGACCTCCTGCAATGTTTTGGTTTTCTTTTTAGTTTGAATATTTTTTGACACCCAGTGCATGCTTTCTTCTGATTTTTATCAACATAATGACTTTTCATCATTCCTATAAAAACAATGCAATTTGATTAGAAAATATATGTAAAGCCTTTTTATTTATCAGTATGTTTTTATAGTTTCAAAATAGTTTCGATCTTTGTTGACAATGACTTACAGAGCTATTAACGTCTGAAACTTATCAAGCAACATATCTACAGTATGCCATTGTTCTGTCTTGTTTTGAATATGGTATAAAACTTTTATTTTATCAGGTAGATCAATGTAACCTAAATTAATCAATATCATCTTTCTTTTCATCAAGGGAAGACTAATATTTTTGTAGAACAGTTTTTGTAGCTTGTATAAACATGCTATGGTAGATACTTAATTAAATATAACATATTAACATGTATAAGTAAGCTTAGTCACTCTAGTGTCGAGAAACATAGAATAGAATGATTGTTACCTTTTGGTTTCATATCCATTTCACGCATATCATCAAACCGTATTATTTCATTATTTGATGATTTCATTGGAGGGTCACAAATCTCAACTTTCTCCTTGCTGTCACTCAACTCATTACGGGCTTCGATGTCATGATTACTTCTACGATGCTGGTTTTTATCATTCTGTGACTTGTTTACGATAACTTTTTGCCTGTCGTCTTCAATAATTTTTCCGACGTGAACATGTGATCTTGGTAGTGTATGAATATCAAAGTGTCCGTCAACAAAATTTATCTCAGCATCTTCAGTACAAATCATTTTTTTGTGTAACAATGAATGAACCAGAACTCTTCTTGCTAAAATAAATAATTGCAAAGTATATATATGAACAGTTATTTTTAAACAATCATTTGGTATTTTGCAATACGCTAATAAAATAGTTTTAATTGATAAACTTCTATATATATACATATATATGACAAATGTAATGTAGGTGTGTGACATATATATCAATATTTATAGTTTTGTCACGTGCTGACCGGAAGAGAGATAAAGAAGATGGCCATATTGATAAATAAGTGTTTCCTTAGTACATAATTGTTTATTTCTGATGACATTGTGAATTATTAAGTGACTAAATGAATGAGAGGACAAATAATACAAATCACAGAAACTAGAAGTATTGTAATTGATTTATAGTATCTGTCATGTGTTGCATCGGATATAAATATCTGTCCCGAATGTACCCGCGGGTCGAATGATCCAATCTACATCGCAACTACATGCCAGTTATTTCTTATTACCTATATGTTTTATATGATTTATTTAAAAGAATATAATTGTCCATGGGAATCTATATCATTTTATCCGTTATTAATTAAAAAGAGAAAATAAAGAATCCCCAAAGAAAGCTAAACAAGACAAAATTGAAAATGTTAAAATTGTTAATTTATTTCAGTAGCGTATGAATTTAGAAGTTTATTTATAATTGCAAAACGACGTCATCCTAGACACGAAATGCAGAAATTACGCCATGTTAACGCTGTTTATTTATAAAATGATCTTAAATTACGTCACATTAAAGGACGTTACTTATTAAGCAACACCTTGCTTAATGGAATTTCCTTAAAGTCCGATATACAAGTTTATCTGTTGTATAATATTTCATTTAACGACGAAAATATCTCTTGAAAGAAAAAGGTCATTTCCGAGCATACCACAATTTAAAATTTGCAAATATTTCAAAAAATTTTGGTAGAACTTAAACTGACATCAACGTTAAATCGTCAACCCTTACAAGACTTCACAGGAGTGTAATGTATTTATAGCAGGCACCGGAAACGCACATGGACGATTCTCTTCAAACGGATAGTAATATATAAATATATAATAAAACACTTATTCACGGAGATACAACTAATTCTTTTTCATGTCAGAAGTATGTCATCTCATTATACATTTGTTGTCATCTAAATGACTATAGATTAAAATGTTGTTTGGTAGTAGGGTTGAATTTGCGAAAGCTGGATTTGTTGTTGTAGTATGTTACCACATGGCCAAATCCTCATGTCTTTTGCGACAAGGGATTAGCCAGCCTGGTTTTTATGGCGATGTGATTTACAAACTTCGTAAGATTTTGGGTGATGGTAATTTTTCTGCTGTTTTTTACTAAAATCATTAAACGTTTTATAAAAAGAGCTTATGACCCTACTATTTTAAGACATACTGCATGCTTAGTGTTCAACCCTTTTACAGTTTGACACTACGCTTTCCTCTTTTGATTACATCTGATGGACCAAGTGGGAGACTCTATGATGGACAGTTCTTAAGCCCTTTGGGACTGACTTATCTAAATGTTCGTCTTCTGCCTAGCTTCGTCGGGCCCTTGTAGGTGATTTTCTTGTTGCTCTGTCTTCCTTTAGGACATTAAGTACTTTTGTTATGGACATTGGGTTTATTTTTATATGTTTCTACATGATCATTTTGGTGTTTTACTAATTTAACCTTTTGTAACCATAACAACTGTTAGAATTTCACTTGGCGGGGATTCATTATATTTAGTAATACACTGTCTCGTTTATAAGAACATGGTGGGGCTAAGAGCGAGGTTTGGTGCACCATTAACCAGTTTAAACTCCCAAGCAGTCATTATTATGCCGCTGACAGTTCCAAGGCGGCGCCCCTCTGTGTTCCTCAGATGTATGTCTATGTTGTTTCATACTGTTTTGGTGACACTTTTTCTTGTGTCCCTTGTTGTTTTCTCGTCTACGGTAAGTATCTTCCCCTTTGCCCCTAGTTTTTATTTCTTTGATTACCCCCCCCCCCCGTCCCCGGTCTCCTTTCCCTTCCCATGTGCCCTTTGACTTTGTGGGCCTGTTGTTCGATCATTTATTTGTTTTCTTTAAATTCCTTATCCGTTACAATTTATGTATCATTTTAGTGATTTAACAGTCCGTGCCCTGTCCTGTTTTTTGTTTGCAGTCCGCCTGGGCTCCTTGCCACTGGTTCTTCTTGCTGGGTTGTATGGGGGTTGCGCTCATTGAACGCCGCCTTTCCTTGTTGTTCTTATTTATCATATTTTACAGCTGACATTACTAAATATAGTAAAACAATTATCAAATGATTGTGTTAAAGTCCTGTACATAACTTTCTTCTGATATAATTGACATATGTAATTTTAATTTATATTCTGTCTTAAAGTTCACCTTGACGTATAACACTAGGATATTCGATTTATACATATAGCACTATTTGACATACAAGTTAAACAGCGTATTTGACCTATCCTTATTATCAAACTTCTTCTTTCTGTACTGCCATAGCGTATCTTGGATGAAATGTATGTGTACGACGAAATTCCACGTGGGCACCCATTCATATATGTGTGTTTAAATATTACAGCACAATACGAGTACTGTATATACTATTGTATGATATACATGTATGTCTTAGTAAATGTATTTGTACAATGAACGAATTTACGGTAAAATCGCTTTGTATAATAGATAACCTTATGAAAAAAATATAACTTTAAAAATTCTTTTAGAATTTCATTTCTGATATTTACAGAGCTAAACACGTACTTATTTTATGCAATTTATTCTTCTGTTTTTTTTCTGTATTAACAAATCAACAAAGAAAAACTATTATTGATCACCTTTGATGATGGGACACAACATTGATGTTATAATTAATAAACCAATATCACGATCTAATTATTCTTTAAAATTTCTCACATATAATTATGTTTGTCTTTAGCCATTCAAAAAAGAGAACATAATTATTTTTGTAAAAAAAAACGTTCAAATTACGAGAACAAAAACAAATATTTGCTGATTGATAGCTTATATCAATATTTCAATCGTTGATTAAGTGAAGCGATAAAAAACAATTAAACAGCCTTTCATTGGTATTTCGGTCCAATCATCGGTACAATGAACATGACAAAAACTATGTTCATTGCAATCTAAAAGATACCGAAACCACAGTTCAAACATGCCTGCATTACAAATATTGTTTGTAAATGCTTCAATCGATTTGGATATGTATAATTCAGATTTGGAATTTTCATTTTAAAAGACAAACGATGATGATTATCAATTACAAATGAAACTGGATTATATTTAATGATGTTAATTATGGAAGGAAAGTTTCAAGTCGTCATTGTTTATGTGACGGTTGTCCTACATAGTATTACATATTGTAAAGGTATGTATTATAAATTACAAATAAATATGATACTGTATATGGTTTTTTATCACAATCAATGTAAACAAAATACGATCTTCACGTGCTAATCTCACGAAATAAAAAAAATGGTCAATGCTTTTAATCATGAAATTTCAAGATGACACTATTGTATAGTAAAACAAAAAAAAAAAGAAATGCAAAGTTGAATTAACCCCTTATGTATTTAAAACAGAAAAGTAAAAGAGATTTGTTTTTGTATAGCAAATTTATACATAGCGACCAAGTGAAAAAAAAACCAAAAATAACGTTCTAACCCAGTAAATACATGACGATACATCAATGTTTGTCAGATGTTTGAGTCTAATGTCAAACAGACGCTGAATTTGAGTTGCATATTGAAGTTTTATACCTCAAAAAAAGTAAAGAAATAAAGAATATTATAAAGAAATAAAGACATAACTGAAGCATCTTTCTTTTTAACATATATGCAGCTACTTTCCACTTTATTTCCAACGTAATTCCAGCCATTTTGCAGCACAAGAACAACCAGTATCTAACCAGATACTTACGTTATTCAAACCAATTCATACAAATCCAACTAGTTTCTAATGCAATTTCTGACAGTTTCTAATATAACTTCCAACAGTTTAAAAGTATTTCCAGCCAGTTCCCGAAGGAATCTACTTGTTTCCAAAATTATTTCAACCATTTTTCGATGTCGATGTGCATATAAAATAAATCCATTAATGCAAACATTTTTCAATAAAAAGACAATACAAAACGTTGCATAGTTATTGGAAAAGTATGTTTCATTCTTTCTTCAACATTCATCAAACTATTTTTTATTCAAAGGCGTAGAACATAATAATTGTTTTATCCAAATACCATTGTTTACAACATGCATGATACACGTGTCTATTAAATAACATAACTCTAGAAAGAAACAAAATGCCACTGGCCCGATGTTTAAAAATGTACCCTCGTCTTTCCTTTGATGTTAATCAACGCAATAAAAGTGCACTTAACCTCTAGTAATATATTTAATACATAATTAAATAATACATTACATTGAAATACGTGAGTTTGATTTCCAACATCATATTGCAATATGCCTTTAAAAATCTATGTTTTTTTCTTTTATAATGTTCTTATAGACATTTAGGCGTGTTCATATTACTTGCTATCTCATAGATTTTCTGGGTTTTTTTGGTAGTTACGTTACGTCTTAATGCAACCATGTTTCTTTTTATTGAAGTGCGAATGATGTATATCCTCGACATGAAATGTAGTATTTATCTAGCTATGTGTACAGGGACTAAGCCTTTTCTTGGTAAAATAGAAACTATTATACTGTATATTGTTTGTAGGATGTAATTGTCCGATTACCTAATCTAGCAAATCATTACGTCGAATAATATTTCGTATGATTGTCAATATGTTTACGAATAAAGAAGGATTTCATTTAAAACTATGGTAGTACTTCAAATATTTATAGTGTCCATAAGTAATGTGCACTCTGTCAACTTTTTTCAAGGATAGATATGTGGGTTAATTCTGGAAATAAGTTGTTATGAATTATTTATACTGTGAAATGTTGATTATTATTTTCTATGTAATGCACTGATATC